AAGACCAAACAAAATGATATTTTAAAAAAGTTAGTTATAAACTGCGTATATATCATTCCATTTACATGTATACATATAAATATATAATTACTGATACACTGATTCCAGCTTGCGGATTTCAAACTTGTCTACTTGTGATGCTTGCGGATTTCAACTTAGAATTCAATTGTAAGTCAGTTAAATAAATTATTGAACGATATTACGTTTCAATAATTTATTTAAATGACTTTCAATTCGGATTGAATTTAAACTAAAATTTTCTAGAAAAAATCATTACAAAATGAAGAACATGTTCACAAAATTTCATAAAAAAATTGACACCCAAACACATCAAATAGACAAGTTCGGAAACACATCAAATAGGATCATTTTCTCTCTCTATATGTATATATATATGTACACACTCATACATACCCGCAGGCGGCTGATCTTGTTGGATCATCATTTGTTTTTGCTTTCCCATGACTTCTTCTGTTGTCATATTACAAGCTCACCTGATTTATTTTGCTTCATCCTCATACCGGCCAGCATCTATATATATATATATATAGAAAGTACTGTATTTCCTGTATAGAGAACCTGATGTCACGTTATGCGTCAAATTCCACTTATGATGTCACGGTATGGGTCAAATTCCAACTTATAAAGTCGACGAAAATAATAAAAACATACCCTCCCTCGAGCGGATCTAGCATTTACGTTCAGGTGGGGCCAAAATTTAATTAAATAACGTATATTACAAAAAAATGTTAAAATGTACAGAGTAGTATATAATAATACTAGTATTATAGAAATGTCGAAGAAAAAAGTAAATATTATAGAACCGACAATACAATTATCTTGAAAGTCATAGATATCGAACCGAAGTTTTATCAGTTACCCAAATGTTTAGTGCCAATTTTTAGGTCAGTTTCTCGAAAACCAGATAAACCGAATTTTTTAACTCTAAAATCTATACTCTATGTAAAAAAAACTTATTTTTACCTACCAAACTCAATGTATTAACTAATTAATTTTTCAGACCAATACTCAAAAGCCCAATGAATTGAACTAATTACTTTTTAGGACAATATTCAAATAACTCAATCCATTGAACTAATACGTTTTTTAGACTAATAAAGTCCAATTAATTGGACTAATTAATTTTTGCATGCTAGTATTCAAAAGCCCAAAATTTAGAGTTTAAGATTCGTTTAAGGGAAGAAGAGATTGTTTGGGAAAAACTAAAAATTTTAAAATAGCATACACTAGGACTTGGAATAAAAAAAAAGCATTACTGCTGTCCTTGGGAGAGAACATATAACCTCTGGGTTGCATAGTCAAACAACTACCATTACACCAACATAACTTTTGTTTACATAATGACGTTTTCATTTCTTATACCATGTCTTTACAACCAGTGGCGGACCTCATGTTGTTCAAGGGTGTTCACATGAACACCCAAAAGTTCCAATTTTTTATATCAAAAAATGCCGTTTTGATCAATTTGAACAAAACCTGCCGTCATTTCTAGGCAATCCTCACCTGCTTTGCAGGAGCTAGCAATTCTAGTTCGTACAGAGTTCCCAACTCCTCAATCCTCATCGCTGCTTAGCCAACACCCGTAGCCGAGTAGCAACTCGCTCCTCCAAATCGCACCTTGTAGTCAGCAAACTCTGTATTTGACAGTCTATGTTCATTATCCATACATAATTAATTGGATGAGCAATATGTATGAGGTGAGGAATAGTTTTTGTGGTTAATTTATTGGTGTATGTGGCAGTATGGTTATTTTCTTTTGGTGTGGAAGTAATGAATGTGATTACTGATATTTTGCTTAGTTTCTTTGTAAAAATGGTGAAATTTCATATGATCGAAATTTTAAATATATATTCAGAACACTATATTCTGTGGTGCTTTAAATTGTAACAGCTTTAATTCTATAAACATAAATACAATTGAAGCATTACAACTTGTGATATATATTTTACTTCAGTTTTGAACACCCAAAACTTAAGAGCTAGATCCGCCACTGTTTACAACACATATATAATATACATACATATATATAATTATATACATATATACTAGTAATGTTTTTTTGAGGTTGGGCCTAGGCCTTCTCTGGCCATATATATATACGGCCTTCTCGGACCGTATATATATATATATATATATATATATATATATATATATATATATATATATATATATATATATATATATATATAAGGGAGGGTTCTAGTGAGAACCGGTGGTATTTTTGGCTAAAATTTTTTATGTATGTTCCTAATCAAGTCTAGTTCATCCATACCAAATTTGAGCAAAAATTTCAATCGGGAAGGTCGTCAAATATTTTTGAAAGAAAACTGGTCCGAAATATACATATAAAATGCAGTTTTATTTCAAAAATCATTTGACTACATTCCCGATTCAATTTTTTGCTCACATTTGGTATGGATGTACTAGACTTGATGGGGAACATACACAAAAATTTCAGCAAAAAATAACACCGGTTCTCACCTTAAAATTTGGGTTCTCATTTTAAGAGGGGTTCTGACTAGAACTCTCCCCTATATATATAGATAGATAGATAGATAAATAGGTAAATAAAAAGTGATCCCTAGGTGAAAAATAAGAACTAATCTAGGCCTTTAAATTGATGAATTGGAAGGATCAGATCAAATTTTAAAGCAAAAATGCGGTGGCAATATGGTAATTAGACACAACTTTTATTGGATCTGCTAAAGTAAAAGTGAATCGTTGTATTGAAAAAGTGTAATACCAGATAGTAAAAGTGCATCACGCTTCGAAATAAAATAAGAAGTATAAAAATCGAATTATAACTATTTTTAATGAAGTAAGTATATATGCACATTTACATATGGTATATACACTTTTAGTATTAAGTATTGCACATTTGAGTTTAGTACTTCCTAACGTGATTTTTTATCCACTCCATTCATTTTGAAGTGATCAATGACTTAGATCACTTCTTACTTTTCAGGGGAAGACCTATCTGTATTAGAACCAATCCCTATATATATATATATATATATATATATATATTGAAGAGTAAGAAGTGATCTAAACCATTGATCACTTCAAAATGAATGAAGTGGATAAAAAATCATGTTAGGAAATACTAAACTCAAATATGTATATTTGAGTAAAAGATATCATCAAACACGAAAAATTCTCTTAAACGAAAGGAAAAAAGCAATACGGAGTATGATATAATAATTTTTCGTTGAAATAGTATATTTCATTATTTTTAGTTGACTATACTATATAAGTGTGCGTCTTGACGTCATGCGTGATCCCACAATATAATTCAGGTTTCCTCTATACAAGATGACACCCCATCCCTGAGGGCCCCTCAATCTCAACCGGACGGTACGTTGGGAAGATGTAAATTGGACTATAATCCCAATCCGACAGATAGAGAGTGGGGCTCTGTCCCCGATACTTGCAGAGGCCTTATGCATTTTAGCATAGTAACCCCTCATCGCAGTTGTCGGGATTCAAACCCGGGACCTAACCCTTGTGGCACTTCCTTGCTACCAGTTGAGCTACGCCCACCGTTAGGTTTTCTCTATACAATATATACTTTCCGTGTGTGTCTATATATATAGTCATTCTAATGTCCAGCACTTTTCTGTCCGAACGCCGTCCGAACACCGCCATTTGGGGTGGTTCCCTCCGGACTTTTTTGATGACATTTTTCTAGCATGTTACTCACCAAGTCTAGTTTATCCATACCAAATTTCAGTTCAAAATTCGATCGGGAAGTCAGTCAAATAAATCGTTGAAATTAACTGCGTTTTTCTATGTATAATTTGGCGCAGTTAACTTCAACGAATTATTTGACTGCCTTCCGGATCTAATTTTGAGCTAAAATTTTGTATGGATAAACTAGATTTGATGAGGAACATACTCAAAAAAATTCATCAAAAACTTCCACCGGGAATCGCCCTAAACGGTGATGTTCAGACGGCGTTCGGACCGGAAGGTGCTGGACCTGAGAATATCTCTCTCTGTATATATATATATACAGGGGCGGAGCTACATGTAACCCTAAGCCCCCCCCCCCCCCCCCCCCCCCCCCATTTTTAGTTTTTTTTATTAATTTTACCTTAAAATTTTTTTTGCCCCCCCCCCCCCCCCTCAAATTAATAAATAGATATATATTATATATCTATATATATATATATATATATATATATATATATATATAGGTTTTGCTTCAAATAAGAACATGGTCTTAGGAGACAAATGAGAATGAATTTGGACTATTAGATTTGCTTTAAGTGAAATTCAATGTGCATTAGATGAAACTTTAATGTGCATTAGGTGAAGTTGAAATGTGCAACACAAAGGATACGATACACTGACATTATGTGAAGCTGAATTGTGCATTACGTGAAATTGAAATGTACACTAGGTGAAACTGAAATGTGCAGAATAAAAGATAAGATCCGATTTTATTTTTGTACATTTTATTTCGCACATTTCAGTTTCACCTAATGCAGACTTGAGTTTAAATTTTTATTATGCACATTTCAATATCTTGTAATGCACATTTGAGTTTCACCAAATGCACATTTCTGTTCCACATAATACAATCCAACGGTTCAGATTCGTTCTTATTTCTCTCCTGGGAGTTCATTCTTACCAGAACCGCTCTCTATATATATAGAGAGAGAGACACGGAAAGTATATATTGTATAGAGAAAACCTAAATTATATTATATTGTGGGATCATGCATGACGTCAACTAAAAATAATGAAATATACTATTTCAACGAGAAATTATTATATCATACTCCGTGTTGCTTTTTTCCTTTCGTTTAAGAGAATATTTCGTGTTTGATGATATGTTTTACTTTTCTCTTAAACAGATGTATCAATAAAACAACTTTATTTTATTAAAAACTATATCAATCAAACCGTTTTAACATAGAAGAAATGCTACAATACGTAAGAAATCTTTGCCAAAAAAATTATATCAATCAAAAGACGAGTACAATAAGAGGCCAATAGGCACATAATGTGAGAATAATGGGAAAAGGTACTCCAATAGGAGTCCTGACATGTGTATTAATTAATAGTAGAAGAGTTCTGATTAAAAAAGGAAACAAATATGTCTACATATATTTTAGGAAACAAATATCCTAAAATATATTCTATTACACCCCCTCAAACTGTGTGGGAGAAACAACGTGCATGTTATCTTTCAAAAAATGAAACTGCTGACTGGAGAGACTTTTAGTAAAAATGTCAGCCAACTGTAACTGTGTAGGAATGTACTTGACAATCAGATCTCCATGAGCCACGCGTTCTCTAACAAAATGATAGTCAATCTGAATATGCTTCCTGCGAGCATGTTGAACAAGATTAGCAGTCAAGTAGGAACCGGAGATGTTGTCACAAAATAGCTGAATAGGAGTTGTGACTGGAAACCCAAGCTCAAATAAAACTGATCGGATATGCAGAGTGTCTTGGATTGTGTAGGCAACACCTCTATATTCAGCTTCAGTAGAGGACTTGGAAACGGTGGGCTGTTTCTTTGATTTCCACGATACAAGATTAGGTCCCAAAAATACCGCGAAGCCTGTTGTGGAACGGGAAGTGTCAGGACAACCTGCCCAGTCAGCATCGGAGTATGCAACAACGCAAGTAGCTCGCGTGGTTGGGCGAAGCCATAAACCATGATCAAGTGTCCCCTGTAAATACCTGAAAATTTCTTGACTGCAAAGAGGTGAGTAGTACGAGGAGCATGCATAAATTGAGACACTAAATGAACAACATAGGTAATATCAGGTCTTGTCAAAGTTAAATATCGTAATGCACCAACCATACTACGGTACTCAGTGGCATCTGCAAGAAACTCCCCATCAGTGAGAGACAAAGATGTGCGAGTAGCAAGAGGGGTACGAACTGCCTTAAGGGTATGTAAGTGGAAACGATTAAGAAGATCAGAAACATATTTATGTTGAGACAGAAATAAACCTTTGACAGAACGTACAACCTGAACTCCTAAAAAATAATAAAGATCACCAAGATCTTTCATAGCAAAATGTTGAGCAATAAGACTGATAAAGAAAGTGATAACAGACGAAGAATTACCAGTGATAATAATGTCATCTACATAGAGCAGTAAATAAATGACAGAAGTATGCTAGCGAAAAATAAACAAGGAATTATCAGACTTGCTACACGTGAAATTATGAGTTAACAAAAAACTACTGAAACGATGAAACCATGAACACGGGGCTTGCTTAAGTCCATAAATGGCTTTTCGCAGATGACAAATATGATTAGGAAACAAATGATGTACGAAACCCCGCGGCTGACGCATATAGACTTCCTCAGTAAGAGTGCCATGAAGAAAAGCATTTTTGACATCTAACTGACGTATGACCCACCCAAAAGAAATAGCCAAAGTAAGAACAACACGAACAGTGGTGGGTTTAATGACTGGACTGAAGGTCTCAGAAAAATCCACACCAGCCTGCTGATTAAATCCCTGGGCAACCAAACGGGCTTTATGAGGATCAATAGAACCATCAGAATTGTATTTAGTCTTATAAATCCACTTAGAGCCCACAATATTCTTAGAATTATCAAACGGCACCAACTCCAAAGTATTAGTAGAAATAAGAGCATTAAATTCCTCTGCCATTGCCTGACACCATTTTAACTGTTTATTAGCCTCAGTAAAACATGTAGGATCTGCTGATCTTTAATCTGCTGACACCATTTTAACTGTTTGAGCGGGAGAATTTTCTCTCTCAAATGTAGTGCTTCTACATATTACAATATAAGTTTGCTAACAATTGAACGGGGAAATTGAACAAGATAATTTTCTCTCTCATATGTAGCGATTTTAGATATATGAAGATAACAAGATAAACTTGCTAACAATTGAGCGGATAAACTTTCTTTCTCATATGTAGGTTTTTTAAGTATGATAATCCAAGTAACAATTGAGCAAGAGAATTTTCTCTCCCATATGTAATGATTTTAGGTATAAGTAGATATGTAAGCTAACAATTGAGCAGAGGAGAGTTCTCTCTCTCATATGTGGTGCTTTTAGATATAAGAAGATAATCTTGCTAATTATTAAGCGAGAAATATTTATATATTAATTTGTAATTACATCATGAGTACAATATATGCATCAACTGCTCTTTCCCGTGCGTATGCACGGGTACTATACTAGTTATTTTAAAAGGAAATCTCCTAGACGGCTCCAGACGTGAAATGCCGCCACTTAAAGTTTCATGCATCTACAAGACAAGAAAAAAGGCAATCTAAATTAATTTGAACCAAAAAATACTTAAATTTAAAAATAATTAATAAAAAAATGATAATGACCAAACAAGATTATTAAAAATTATTATGAACTATCATCCGTACATTATAGTTAGTACATCCATATATACACAATGAAAGAGAAAAATCTCATTTTTTATTAATTGTGGGACAAATAATAGAGAGTGTAATAAAAATATAATTAAAAATAAATGTGGCGGGTACATGGCAAGTAATTGCGCGAGCATGTATAAACCATAACCGCCCCATTAACCATTAAAAACAGGTATTCCCCGTCCCATACTTATTACCAGTTCAATGCGGTTTCCCCCCATTTTGACCATAGCAAATTAGTGCGAGTATCCATCATATCGGTTACAATTGCCACCCCTAATTTTAACAAAATTGGGTGACATCATGCTGAGATCATCCCTGTGTCATAAAGTCCCAATTTTTTAAAACTCTTATAACTTTTTTATTTTTTATCCAATTTTTTCAATAAATATATCAAAATTCATAAATTTTAATGATCTTTCTTTCATATGACACCAATATTACATAAATAAACTGAAAAAATTGAAATTTTAACTGTTGGAGTTTTTTTGAACCTAAGAAAATACGAAACATGAATTTTTAATTCATGGAGCTTCCATAAATAATTGAGTATTACATGAAATCATTTTATTTTTTACTAAAACTGAAAAATGTAAAATAAAAGTAAGAATTGTTTTAATGATTTTTTTACATCGAAATATGTATTTTATATTTCATAATTATTTATGGAAAACATTACTTAAAATTTTTTAATTAATATTTTACTAAATTCTTATGTAAAAAATACGATGACTGATAAGTGTATTTTATTGACGGTATTGGAATGCAGGGTAATAGAAGTCTAAACATTATAGGCTCCTTACCACTACATATTATTTGTAGAAGTGTTATGCTAGTACTCCGTATTATTTGACTACATATTAATAATTCCTACTACGTACGTACGAAGTATTAATTACATTAATATTCTATTTTTTTTTTGCTACAGAAACTTCTATTTAATTGAAATATAAGAAACATTTGAAAAATAATAACGAAAATAAGACTCCTCACTCTCCTCCGGTCAAAAATAAGACTCAATTTAATAAACATCGACATAAAAGTGACAAAATAAATTAGAATGGACATACGTACCGCAATTCGCATCTGGCCATCTTCATGTCTCCACTTCCAAAGCCAGGTCGCTGCCTCTTCTCCGTCTTCAAGTCACCTCCTTGGCTCGGCCTCCAAGTCATCGTCGTCCGCTGTTTCCCCTCCTCCCTCTTCTCTTCTTTTTCTTCTTCTTCTCAATTTCCGTCCGAGTAGAAGTGTATTGCGATGGCGATGAAGAGTCTCAGTTGTTCATTGGAGAAATCAATTGTTTTCCAACAGACAAAAAGCAGAAGCGGGATTCCGTCGTTTTCACTGACTATGACCTGCCACCTTGCCCTCCCCCACATAGGGATGCCTTGGTGATAAAGATGGAAGTTATGGATACGATAGTTTATACAGTCCTGATAGACAATGGTAGTTCGGTGAACATTATGTACTTGGACACACACATGGAAATCAGCCTCCAGAAGGAAGCCTTGAAACCGGTAAAAACGCCCCTATCGGGTTTAATCGAAGATGTAATCGAGCCTGAAGGGGCAATTACCCTCTCGGTTCAGCTCGGACAGAGCCATGTGTGCAGACGGTTGATGCGGACTTCGTGGTTATAAGTTTGCCAAGCGTACATAAGGCTATACTGGGCCGACCTCTATTGGAGGACCTGAGAGCAATTATCTCCTAGACCCATCTCCGCATGAAATTTTATACGCCAGCCGGAATAGGCATGGTAAGAGGGAACCAAAAGATGGCAAGGAGCTATTACTTAAGGGCTTGCAAAGCCCGTGGAAGGAACGATGTCCGATTAAACACTATAGAACATGACCTGTCAAAATATGAGGAAGGGCAGTTTAGAGCCCAGCCCATCTCAGAGCTTGAGAAGGTCGGCGTCGATCCATCTAGACCTGATTAAGATCGGAGCAGGATTGCCGACCGGCCTGAGAGCAAAAATAGTACAGGTCCTGAGGGATTTCAAGGTGATCTTTGCTTGGGGATCCAGAGATATGCTCAAGCTCGACCAAAGCATAGTTGTGCACCAACTGAATGTAGATCCTAAAGCAACCCCCGTGAAGCAGAAAAGAATGTGCATGTCCTTGGACAAGAAAGAGTTCGTGAAAGGGGAGGTGAGGATGTTTTGTTTTGTTTTTTAAACCCCGGGAAGTGAGCATGTTATTGGGGATCAAGCACATCAGAGAGGTACAATATCCAGAGTGACTGGCCAACGTCGTCTTGGCACATAAGCCACCAACCTGGAGAATGTTTGTGGACAATACTGATCTAAACAAAGTTTGCCCGGTGGATCCCTTTCCATTACCAAGCACAGACCAACTGGTGGATCAGACCGCCGGTTGCGAGCTGCTCTCGTTCATGGATGCATTTCGGTTATAACATCAGATCTCTATGCATGAGGATGTGTAATGCCCGTACTTTTTATCGACTTCTTATGTGCTAATTAATTATATATGATCATGTTTTAATTTATCATTTGAATAATATATATGTGAAGTATATGGATATCATATGATTATGATCTTGGTGATAATTGTACTTGAATTATATACTTGAAATATGTTTTATCATGACAGGCGACAGTACCCGATGAGCAACGAAACGATACTGTAATGATCATTTTATTTCGAATGGAATGGTATATAAAGTTAGTTGTTATGTTAGATAGTATTCGGGTGTTTAAAATATAGTTTAAATGTCATCGGGGGTCAAGGGTGTGATCGGCCAACAATCGGGGTCGGTTTAGGGCGAAAAAGGGCATTTTCGGCACCCGAGGAACCCCGGACTGGCGCCGGTTGGACCCGGACTGGCGCCGGTCCAAAACAGAACTTTACGGCGGTGGAAAGGCAGGGCAACCGACGCCGGTTGGGCCCTGACCAGCGCCGGTCGGAGCGATTTTAGCCAGTCGGTGTAAAGCGCATATTTAACGGAGAAAAAACCCTTTTGACCCCAAATTTCGACCTTGCTCGTCCTTCTCTCTGTAAACCAGCCCCAAAACCTTCTCCAAGTGATTCAAGCTCAAAATTAAACATACTTTTCATCAAAGATCATCAATTGGTATGTTTCTCACTTTACATAGAGTAATTCATTCATACTTCGGTTTTAGTTCTTATTGTTGGGGATTTCTACATATATGGTGAATTTTGGGTTGGTTCTAAGAAATTAATGGATTTTATTGATGATAGGAGTGTTGTAAAGTGGTTGTTTATCCTTGGTTTAACAAGTTTAAAATCTATTCTTGAATAACTAGCAATCCCAAAACTATGTCAAATTGATAAAAGAATTTGGAGAATTTTCTTAGTATGTATAGTTCTTGGTTGAGGATTTTGCTAGGGTTGGTTGATTAAGAGTTGATGCTAGGAAAATTAATGGATTTTCTTAATAATAAGGTTGTTATGGAGTTGTTGTTCATCCTTTATTGAAAACCCTTGTGAAGTTTTAAGTATTTAGCTACCCCAAAATTATACCCAATTTAATGAAAGAATTTGGGAAGTATTTTAATGATTAGTGGCTGATTCTAAATAGATACATGGAGTCCTTGATATTACGAGAGGGAGTTATTAGACGATGAGTCTTGATTCATGAAATTCAATCGGATTCTTAGTTATCTAGCCAGTCCGAATCTATGCCCGATTTGTTGTAGGAAAAGGGGGAGTTTTCTAACTTGTAGGGGCTTATTTGTGAACTTTACCTCACCTTAAGTCTAAGGATTTTCTAAAGACACGAATTTAAGTTTGATCAAGTATAAGCTTGTGTATTTATATTTATAGTTGCTCATCGAAGAACCGTTGCTCGTGGACACCGTATACGCACACACAAGGACAAATACTCCGCGTGAACCAGGTAAGTCATCACCACTTATACATGATAGTTTGAAACAAAATATGGAAGTCTAGCTACCTATGAATTGGATAGGTTTGCTTGAATGTTTGAATTTGTATGGTATGAGATTATGTGAATGCCCTGTTATGTGTATATATTTATAGGTGATGTTGATGGAGAACTTGTTGAGTTATCAATGTAATGTATCCAAGTTCTATGGTTAATGTTAGGTTGGATTTATATGGACTCCAACAATGAATGAATGTTGTAATAGTAATGATATCAAGTGAATGATAAGAAATGTTATAAGGTAGCCGATCCCCCAAGTAATCACCTGAGCTGAACGGAGCAGGATCTCCTTCCGCGGGGAGTCCCGGGATTACTTCTGATGGTTGCGGGCTAGCTACCCAAGGTCATTAGAGAGGGGCCAAGACACGATCTACGGGCCCATCAAGTCAAGTAACAAGATAAGAAGAAAGCATGATGAATGAGGAAATCTTTTGGATTTCGTTACATGATGTTGTGTTTTACATGAAATGAATATGTGTGTGAATATGCTATGTGTATGGAGTATTCAAGCTCATGTATCTAATTATGGCTAGCTAAGATTCCCTAAATGTTTTTAGTGGATGAAATGGTGACTTACTAAGCATTATTTCTTACGAGACTTCTATTTTCTTGTATTCTCATGTATAGGTAATCAACGAGGTACGGAAGCCTGAGAGAATGTATGGAGCCGGTGAAAAGGTTTTGGATGGGTTAACAGAGAAGATCGGGCTATCAGTTATGTTGTGGTTTTAGTATGTTGGTACTTCAAAGGGTTGTTAAACGTTTTTAAAATCCTGATCAGGTGTAATGGTTTTACAATTGTTTAATTTTGGATGCGTTTCGTTATGGTTGTACGGTTTGATTTATTCTAAAAGAAATAAAGTCTCATATCGAGGCTTTGTATCTTTATTTCCGCTTGATTTATCGAGTCTCTTTTATGATTGAGTATCATAATGGCTGTTTTGGGGACGATCATTACAGTTTGGTATCAGAGCCCAGGTCCATTGCCACGCACCGCTCGACATGTGTAACGCCCGTACTTTTTAGCTACTTCTTATGTGCTAATTAATTTTATATATGATCATGTTTTAACTTATGGTTTGAATGCTATATATGTGAAGTATATGAATATCATGTGATTATGAACTTGGTGATAATTGTATTTGGTTTACATACTTGAAATATGTTTTATCATGACAGGCGACGGTACCCGATGAGCAACCAAACGACACCATAATAATCATTTTTATTTTGGGTGAAAAGGTATATGAGTTAGTTGTCATGTTAGATAATATTTGGGTGTTTAAAATGTAGTTAAAATGTCACCGAGGATCAAGGATGGGATCGGCCAACAATCGGGGTCGGTTTAGGGCGAAAAAGGACATTTTCGGCAACCGGGGAAGCCCAAACCGGCGCCGGTTGGACCCGGACCGGCGACGGTCCAAAACAGAACTTAAGGGCGGTGGAAATGCAGGTCAACCGGCGCCGGTTGTGCCATGATCGGCGCCGGTCGGGGCGATTTTTGCCCATGTCGGTGTACGGCGTATTTAAACGGGAAAATTCCCTTTTCCCCAAAACGAAGCCCAGATCGACCCCCTCTTTACAAACTCATTTCCAAACCTTACCTAGACTGATTCAAGCTCAAACTAAGTCTATTATTCATCAAGAATCATCACTTGGTAAGATTTTACACCTTACATGAAGTAATTTTTCCATATTTTGGACTATGGTTCAGGTTTTTGGTTTAAGCTAGGGTTGAGTGAATTTTGGGTTGATTCTAAGTATTAATGGATGTTATGGATGATAGGAGTGTTGAAGAGTGGTTTTTTATCCTTGGTTTAACAAGTTTTTAAATCTATTCTTGAATAACTAGCTATCAAAACTATGTCAATATGATGAAAGAATTTGGGGAATCTTCTTAATATGTATAGGCTGATTTTAAGTAGATGTGTAGAAATCTTGATAGTATGGTTATTGGTTAGTTGTTTTTGACTCTTGAGTATAAAGTTCAATCGGGTGTTGGTTGTCTAATTACCCGAGAATTTGACCGTTTGAGGTATAGGAGTCTTAGAAGTCTACCATATTCGAGGGCTGGTTTTGTTGAGTTCCTATTATTCCTAAGTCTTAAGGTTTTGGTTAAAAACATGAAATTATGTTGATCAATTGTAAATGATATATATAGTTGCTCATGGAAGAACCGTTGCCCGTGAAAGTTCTACAAGCACACACCGGGTAAATACTCCACGTGAATCAAGTAAGTCATCACCACCTATACATGATAGTTTGAAATGAAATATGGAAGTCTAGCTATCTATGAATTGGATAGGTTTGCTTGAATGTTTGAATTTGTATGGTATGAGATTAGGTGAATGCCCTGTTATGTGTATATATTTATAG